TCGGTGTCGCAATAATTTCGTGTTCGCCCTTTATGCATGTAGTTCATTTTCTAATACTTAAGAATAACTAACACCCATCCCTGTCTCTCTTTATTTTCGGGTTAATTTTCCACAGTTGAATTTATTGTTTAATAAATGTATAATAATGTCTAACTACGTTACTTCACATGAGAATCAACGTGTACAGAGCATCACTGTTTTAATTAAGGGGAAGCAGTGATGTCTAATAAACGCTGAATAATCAAAAATGTCATCGAATAAGCTCTGTTACAACTCATATAAGTCGAATAACAGCTTCTTGACATACCTTATACAACACCAACACCAATAATTCAATACGTTGTGGTTGAATAAATTCTCCAGATTTGTGTGAACAAAGCCTGAGCAGAAGTTATTATTAAAAATAATGCAAGTATTACTTAGCATGCAGTTGAATAAAAACGTCAAGAAGTTGTTTCTTCAATAGGCGATTGTTAGTTGGGTAGTTGTCCCAAAACTGCTCGACTGAGTGATTAATTGACGAAGTGGTTCGGAATCAATTTTAACTCGATCCTTGTGATAGGCGATCGCCTCAAATCTCATTCTTAGTTGATCCTATTGAAAAAAGTTACTGGAACGATTAAAGCTGAAGAGTTTCGCCCCATCAAAATGTTACATACATTAGAAAAATTGGAACATGTTGTGAAAGGCCAACTGTTGGAGTATTTAAATGGTAATACCAACAATCAATACGAAACTAACGATTTTAAATTGGCTCACCACTTTAGTAGCCTATTGGTCCCAAGCAAACGATTAACGTACCCTATTCTAGTTGAAATTCTATTACTACACTATGTTTGTTTTGATTCGCTATGAAAGTTTGACAGATAACATCAGGGGTGTGTGGATTCATGCAGAACATGCAAGGGTGAGTGAAATAGCTTGGGACTGCTTGGGACCGTTGTTCTGGTACTGAGTGAGCCAAAAATAATAATGATTTTCTTCGGGACCCAGTGGTCTTAGAGTTACCTCTATGGTAATACCCAACATACAATTCGAGTTGATCAACAGCTGAATAAGCTATTTTTAAGCTGAAGAAGCTCATTTTTGCCTGAATAAGCTCTTATTCAACATTCAATGTTTGTTGGGTAGTTTGTTCATACCAGGACAATCGGGATATCTGGAAGGTCATTATTGTGAAACCGCATTGAATTTGGTGTAAACGAAGTGGAAAGATAACTTGGAGTGATACGATTGCTGCTGATTTTTGGGATCTAAAACGCGCTTTTGAAACAATTTCTAGGCCCTTATTGTCAAGATTCATCAAACGCTTTGGAAATACGAGTACTGAATATAATTGATTTGAAGGCTATTTGTGTGACATTACTCAACGGACTGTTCTTAAATATTCTGATTTCCGTGAGGAATAACCATGGATTGCCCCAGGGAAGTATAATGGGGATTCTTTTACTTATTATGTATTTTAACACAGAAAACAGACATCCAAGTCAAATTCCTAAAGTGTGTAAGAAATGTAACTGCTATTTTGAATAGACATTTTAAACTAGCAACGTCGACGACCGGCAGACGCCATATTTACATAAATGTCAAAATGTGTATGAGCAAAACAACCGATCAAAACATGGGCCGCAAGTTTTACTGGTGCACAAATAAACAAGGTGTTACCAAGCGAAAAAAATTTCACAATGGTCAAACAAAGGATGCTTAATTGTAAGTATTTGCTTATTGTTTCGTTTTACATCGATTCATTCATAAACATCCTTCCAAATTGTCGGTGCAGCCACTGAATAAATCGCTGCGAGTCACCCGAACTACAGGAGATTTTCTTCTCCCGTGGAATCCAAGCGCTAGCAACGAAAAAGTTATGTTACGACCACTTCCCCCCGGAGGCTTTTCGAATTCCTCTTTGAAATTGATTTGAAACAAATCATTGTTGCAATAAATTATCACAATAACTAACATTCCACCGCTTAGTTTTTTATTTGAAAATAATGGTTCCGCAGAAACTCGATCGATTTTCGTTGTTTTGTTTTGTTTGTTTTGAACTGATTTGACTATGGCCACGGCCAATAAGGTCAACCCAAATTTTAGTTCAGTTTACTCATTAATCGCAAACTCTTGTCGCAACATTCCGTATGGCGGCGCTAGTGTTTCTAACGTATTTTAATTTGAATTCTTACACACAATTTTTTGTAACATTTGTTCAAGCTTGGATGTCTGTTCTCTGTGATTTTAATTACATGCGTCGATTTTAGACATTAATATTTTTGCAGATGATACTGTGTTATTTATTGCAGATAAGGATTTTGATGATGACAAATAAAGATTTGCATTCTCTAAGTAGATGGTGGAAGTAAAATCAATTGAGATTAAATATAAGTAAAACTAAATTCATGGTAATTTGGTGGAATCAAGTAAATGAGAACGTCTCTGTTGATAAGGCTTTTGATCACATCGATGATTATTGATGGCAAAATTAAGTTCAACTCTCCCATTGACAATGTCATCTAGATAATTGCCAAGAAGTATAGAATTCAATGTCGGTTGAAAACTATTTAACTATTGCCAGCAAAATACAGCTATACAAACCAATCATCTCTCTTCATCTGGACTTTAGCCCTTACATAATATTTTTGGTCAATGAAACACAAATATCGAGATTAAGGACTGTTCATTAAAGAAAGTGGACACCTTTTTATCAATGGTTTAGGGTTAAAACGTAACGAAAAATTGTGAATTTTTGCTCGGTGTGTATAAAACATTGTTTATTTTGGCAACACACCTGATAAATAAAAAAGTGAGAAATTTCGAACGATGGGTCGGACAGGTTATCAACTCGCAGATTAATTCTGCACCAATGGTTTTGCGAACAGTTGTTGTTTCGAGAATTGGCAAAAAGTGTGAAGTGCAGTAAATCTACACTGTTCAAGATTGTTAAGAAGTTTGGAGAAACTTGTTCTCTTGAAGATTTACCGCAATCTGGGCGCAAAAAGGGGGCATCGAACCAGAAAAAGGAGCTGGCAGCAGTGCGATTTTGAAATCGCATAAACCGTGTTCCGTTCGTGAAATTGCCAAAAAATTGGACATTAGCGTCGAAACTGTGCAGAATATCAAAAAAACGTTACAATATCAGAACCTACAAGAAGCAAAAAGCACCCAAAAGGGACGGATTCACAGAAACCTTCTTCGAAAATATGGTCATGGAACTTGTATGACGTTCTCCTTCAAAGGCCGAACCGGTACATTTTGATGGTCGACGAGACGTACGTCAAATTGGATACCAATACACTTCCCGGGCCGCAATTGTTCAACGCTGAGCAGAGGATAGATGTGCCTGATGATGTGCAATACATCCGAACCAAAAATTTTGAAAAAAAAAGGTTTTGGTGTGGCAAGCCATATGCTCCTGTAGCTTGAAGAGTTCTTCGTATTTCACAACGGGCACAATCAATGGTGAAAATTAGAGAAAAGAATGCATCAAAAAACGGCTTCTACTTATCTACCGAAAGCATACGGATCCTCCATTGTTTTGGCCGGATATGGCATCTGCTCACTATGCTTCTGCTAGGTTGAAGATGCTCAATAAGGAAAAAGTCAATTTGTTGAAAAATTCAAAAATTCCTAACCTGCTCTGAACTGCGTCCTATCGAAAGATACTGGGCAATCATTAAACGGCACCTTAGGAAAGATGGAAGAGAAGTAAGCTCTTGTTGACTGCCTCAAAAAAAAAATTGGTCTGCAGCACAACGAAAAGTTAAGAAGAAAGTTATGCAGAATCTAATGGGTGGTATCAAGAGAAAAGTTTGAGCGTTCTTCAAAAATGAGAAGTAAACATTCAACATGATTTTCATTTATATAAAGTTAACTTAGAAACTTGAGAAACAGGTGTCTACTTTCTTTAATGAACAGTCTTTACAGCGCTTGCCGTGTAAATAATGCGTTTGATTTTGAGATGTTATTGATTCACGCTTTAAAATGGTTGTCGGTGCAAATAATTGTATATTTCACTATGATATTCATTTTTAAATATTTGTGTGATCGAATTGAAAGAGAAAGTGTCTTTCATAGATTTAATACTAGAAACGCGGATGAAATAAGAGCACCACATTTCTTGAAATTTGCTTCACAGAATTCATTTTATTTTAAAAGCATAAATGTTTTCAATTCGATACTTTGACATATTAAACGTGCAATAACACTAGCAGAATTCAAGAGATATTGCATTTCATATGTTAAAACTGTTATCCAGTGAATTTCTATGATTTGAAAAATTATGTATCTTTACGAAGCTATCTTCAATGGATTATTTTGTATGGATAGCTGTCATAACGACATTTTAATAATTATTGAATCGCTGCAAAAACTATTTTGTTCGTTACGATGGCGATTTTTGATATTTGAATTAATAGTAGTTGATAATAATAATAAAAAAATTAAAAGTCTGCAAGGGTTTGAGCCTCACACACGTATTACGGATATAGAGGAATGAATTTAAAATTTGATTAAAAAAAATGGAACTATGAAGCTTTCCTGGATTTATTTCCCGTCGATCTTGTTTTTTTTTTTTGCTGAGCATCAATGTTACCGACGCCAGGGAGGCAGGCAGCTGCCACACCTGGACCCTACCTATCGATCCATCAACTCATGAACCGGCGACCAACGGCTTTACTTCCCTTCCGAAGGAAGGCGTGATCAGAGATGTTATGTCTCAGAACATCCCGGCGGTGCCGACTGGGATTGAAACCAGGCCTGCTGGGGTGAGAGGTAATCACGCTTACCACTACACCACCGGTACCGCTAACTATGAAGCTTATTTGGTAGATGTCGTGAACTAGTAGTTGAATGTCGGTGGTTCGTGAGTATTCCTGACGTTGTTGAAAATTATGCTTGTGAATGAGGTGTATTTGTCTCGGTGTGAGAAAATTTATACCTGTAACTGTAACCAGCTTGTTTGCTAATCTGGTTAAGATGTTACACTTAATTATCTTAAAGATAAATCGTCAAGCTAAATCCTTTTTACGGGTGGGACCATCATCATCATCATCATCATCATCATCATCATCATCATCATCATCATCATCATCATCATCATCATCATCATCATCATCATCATCATAAACAATACTTTTGGTGGTCTGATGTGGGATTGTTTGCAAACTTCTCTACGGAACATTTGTGGTGGTAAAAATTCATTATTTTATGATTTACGGGTGGATTTAACAGAACTACTCTCTGTCCAAGCTCTTGGAGATAAAATATAGTGGAACAGTGAATTTTCATTGTAATTGATCTTCTACCAGTTTTTATTGTCTTCATATAAAAATGGGTATTATGGGCTGAATCTTTCGTATTACGAAACGTTAAAAAACGTTAAACGTTAAACGTGTAACAATATATTTAAAACAAATGCTCCTAGCGATGTGCACCACACCTAAGTTACTCATTAATCTTTTTGTTATGTAAAGCTGATATAAAGTTCATTCAGCTCAATTTTCTTGAATAAAAAGACACGTCTTCCAATCGAGCAGCCGAACGTAATTTTCAACAGCACACAACAGGCTAGATGTATAATACAATCATATACTAATTACGATATTAACTTAACGTCTCCATCAACAATTTTTCTATTAATTAAAAACATATTTCAAATCACCAACCAATTCTTACTTGCTCCTTCAGTTAACCTGATAGCAATAGATTCAACATGCGAAAGATATAGGCAATGGAAAGCGATTATAGTTCCCAATCGATACGGAACCGATCCTCGTGTTGACACCGCAAAATTGCATAAAAATGCAATCATTCTCTCTTTTGACCGTTCCCATCTCATCGAACGACCCACAGTGGGTATTTTCCTTGGCGCGTGCTTGCACTGGAATCATTCGCTCTTCTTGCACCCGAATTCATAGAGACAGAGAGGAACATCAAACTGCACGTGAGAGCGAGAGGAGCCGTCGTCAGTGAGAGAAAGAGAGAGCATGGAACATGGAAACAACATTGTGGCAATGTTGAGTATTGAGAGTTGTTCACAGTTTTTCACACATTTTCACACACATCCGAGCGAGCGGCACTTGAAAGGGGGGAAGGGGGGGTGAGCAAGAGAATGGGAGAGAGCGCTAGCTGAATCCATGCTGTGAATTTTCACTACTGACTTTTCCGTTTGTTTGCGCAAAACGGATCAGGCCGCATGCGCTCCCACTTCGATCGACGCTGCAGTGATACTAACACAGTGATGCGAGCGGCCAGCAAGGAAGTCGATTTCGAAGGGGTCGCTTGGTTGTCTACTTGTCCGAGATCGGACGGCGGCGGTAGTGGTCGGTTGGTATATGGGAAAGCGTGAGTGTCCTCGTTCCTGATTCCTAGTCTCGTACACTGCTTTACACCTCCTCGGTTCCCTGCTCCTCAGTGGGGAGAATTTTTTTTCACGAGCACTTTCTGATCCAAAAGTTCACTTCTTTCACTTGCTCGGAACATTCGGGTGAAAATTTTGCAAAACCTATCCGCGAAGTTTGTGCGCTGTCGTTGGACTAGGGAGTGAAAATGTAAAAATTCCCTTCTCTTTTCGCTTTTCCCAATTCCCTTTCCCGGATTATGTCAACGATTCCAAAAGTCTCCTATTTCACTGCTCTAGAGCAGGCAGGCGACCAGCTAGTGCAGAGGCTCAAAAGGGATCGAAAAAACGAAAATCTTACGGTTTCTGTAGGATCACAAAAATTTTCACCAGAATCACTGAACACCACTGAAGAGCACACAAGAAAGGACAAACGCGCTCACTATGACCACATAGAACCGACTTCTCTATGCAAGTGGATCTCCTTGAACTGGATTCTGGTCGTAAGGTGGAAAGAGTCTCCAGTTTCCAAAAGTCGGGAAAATTCTCTCCTCTCCATTCACTCTAGTTCATTCCAGTGAGCTGTTCCAGTCTTCACGGTTTGATTGTGTAACCGATTTTCCTCCGACTTTCCAGTTTTTCATGCGATGTTTTCCTCTCGAGCGATGATCACAAACCCTCTCTTACTCTCCGATGTGCGAGGAAAAACCTATTACGTCATTCCTCAGCTGTTACGCCATTAGTTGTGCTTCTCGCTCATGTCCTTCCTCCAGCTACTGGAGGACAAACGAACTCCGGTGGTAGCGGGGGAGTGTCTCAGGCAAATCGTTGCTTCATCATCTTGCTCATATTAACCATTAGAAAATCATCCGCTACCCCGTTCCACCTCCTAGAAGATTCGCATTAAACTAGGAATCTCTGTCGGACCTACCCATGAAGGGGCATACATTTCATAATTAATTTTCAATTCACCCGTATGCCCGTTACAGCACACTAGTGCTCCTCGAACAGAGGCATACCGGGCCGTGTCGTGTCGAGTCATAATTAAATTTTCATCACTTTCATGTATCTTTTTCAGCAGGAGTGCTAATTTTTCATAGGAAGGATTCGAAGCAAAATATCACTTCACTTCGCAATTTGTCGTACGCCTTTCGGCGTTGTTCTGCACCTTATGTAATGGGCCATTTTTGTTCAACTAGTGCTTTCAATTTTTGTAGTGTCCTTTCATTTTTCGTTTTATTGTGAAGGTTCAGATTTTTTTGTAATTAGATAGTTCAAATTAGCGAAGAAGAACTACCCTAATTTGGGCTTAGTTCACCCATAATTGCCAAAAGTGCAGGAACTTAGTGATGAGTAAATTTGCCACATGTTTTCCGGTGGAAAACCTAAAAAGCTGCTGGAAAGTGAGGAAAATTGTCGCAAATTTTACTCAGTTTAGAATTTTACTCATCGCTGAGTTCCTGCACTTATATGATTTATGAGTTAGCTAAACTCAAATTTGGGTCGTTCTCATTCGCCGTGTGGTTATTCATATCCTTCTATCTGTTTGTCTGTCTATCTTTATGGAATTGACTCTTGCTGCTGAGCCACTTTGCAGTTGCTGATTAATAGCACTTCCGTTTTGTGATGCGCTATCTGCAGGATCGCTCCTTGCATCCAATTCTGAACCGTTTCGATCACCTCGGTTGCTATCATTTCAACTTCTGCTCTAGTCTCACCTATTACCGTTTAAGGGGGGACACCTGTTGAGATCTCTCAAAAAAGGGTATGTTTTGTTAATTTTTTTACCATTAGAATAAATGCAATCACTTCGGGTTTTCAGTATGTTGTTAAGCAACACTGTTCGATTTTTCGTTGAAAAAAAATCGCTACTCAAATGCGCGTAAAAAATTGATAAGTTGGAATATCCGAAAAATCCTATTAGATTTTAAATAATTCATTTTTACATCACGAACAGAAGAATCAGCTAAATTGATCGAATAGTCTCCGAGAACCTTCAAGATAAACTTGTTTGAAGATTTGAGTTATATTAAGGTGCGTTTAACACAAGACTAACAGCAGCATACATTCTTTCTGCTTTTCCATTAATTTCATCACAACAGTCTAGAAGGTATAAGGATGCCGAAAATGCAAATACAAAATTTCGATTTTTTTAAACTCACCAACACAGGTGTTCCCCCTTAACCCGTAAAAGCCCGGGACAAACTTTTTATTTTCAAAAATTTGTGTCTCAGAGATGCCATGGTCGATTAAAATGACTTTTTTTTTTACATCATTCCGGTGAGTGGTTCCTACATTTGTTGGGTGGTACTTCCCCCCAGGACCCTCCCTCTTTTCTATATATTCAAGAATGCATTGGCACGGGGGTGTTTTTTTAATCTTTATCATATATCTTCCATATCATCGCGACAACATATTGATTTTTTTCGTGGAACTCCCGGAAATGATAAAGAACATTCATAAGATCACATGCTTACCATGGAATCGGTTCCGGATGTTCCGGATTATGGTTCCATATGGTCAAATTTATTGTCTGTCATAACAATATCAAGCAACATATAAAATCACATCTACTTGACGAAATAAGACCAATGGCACTCAAAACCACGTCCACAGAGCCATAGGGCCACCGTGGAACCGGTTCCAGATATTCCGGATTATGGTTCCGTATGGTCAAATTTGATATCGCTCATACCTATACCAAGCGACAAATCAAATCACATCTACTCGACGAAATATGACCAATGGCACTCAAAACAACAACTACACCAGGGGGGGGGGGGGACACCCCTCACCATCCCTCTCCAAAGGGGGAGTTTGGTAAAAAGAGATGAAACAACCGATTTGTACCTTCCTTAAAAGTTGTCCTAGCTCGCTATTCTAATATCTATATGCAATCTTCACACTGCCGTACTCTAACGGAACTATCAACTCTATGCTTTCATCTACAGTCTGTTATTTGAAATTAGCATCTTCAACTATGTAAATCGTTGACTTCACGTAGAAGTAATACTAAAACATATAGTCAAAGAACAACTATAGAGCCATTTGGCTTCCGTAGAACCGGTTCCGGATATTCCGGATTATGGTTCTGTATGGTCAAATTTTATATCGCTCATAACCATACCGAGCGACATATCAAATCACATCTACTCAACCAAATATCAATGGCACTCAAAACGACTATCACAGAGCCATATGACTACCGTAGAACCGGTTCCAGATATTCCAGGTTATGGTTCCGTATGATCGAATTTTATATCTCACACAACCATATCATGCGACATATCAAATCACATCTACTTGACGAAATATGACCAATGACACTCAAAACAACAACTATAGAGCCATATGGCAACCGTAGAACCGGTTCCGGATATTCCGGATTATGGTTCTGAATGGTCAAATTTGATATCGCACATACTCATACCATGCGACATATCAAATCACATCTACTCGGCGAAATATGTCCAATGGCACTGAAAACAAAAACAATAATAGAGCCATAGGGCCACCGTGGAACCGGTTCCAGATATTCCGAATTATGGTTCCGTATGATCGAATTTTATATCTCACACAACCATATCAACGACTTATCAATCCACATCTACTCAACCAACTATCACAGAGCCATATGGCTACCATAGAAACGGTTCCAGATATTCCGGGTTATGGTTCTGTATGATCAAATTTGATATCGCTCATAACCATACCAAGCGACATATCAAATCACATTTACTCGGCGAAATATGACCAATGGCACTCAAAACAACAACAATAGAGCCATAGGGACAGCGGGAAACCGGTTCCAGGTATTCCGAATTGTAGTTCCGTATGATCGAATTTTGTATCCTTTGGAATCATGTCACGTAACATTTCAAATCACATCTACTTGATGAAACAATCACCGACGGACATCGATTGCCATCCATTGACGGCAATCGAATGTGCAGGAAGGCAGCTTCCACACCTGCGCAGGATATCGCACACATTCAACACACATGGGCCGGGACCAACGGCTTTACTTTCCTTCCGAAGGAAGACGTGACCAGAGGTTTTTATGCCACAAAAAATCCCATGGACCTCGGCTGGGTTTGAACCCAGACCCATTGGGGTGAGAAATAAGTCAAGCTTACCACTACACCACCGGCGCCAGCTATGTAGACGAGATGTGCAAACGATTCCGAAAGAGAATTCCGTTTCCGTTCTCTCAACTTATTTCACAAAAAATCGGAAATCGGTGGCCCTATGGCTCTATAGTTGTTGTTTTGAGTGCCATTGGTCATATTTCATCGAGTAGATGCGATTTGAAATGTTACGTGATATGATTCCAAAGGATACAAAATTCGATCATACGGAACCATAATTCGAAATATCTGGAACCGGTTCTACGGTAGCTATATGGCTCTGTGATAGTCGTTTTAAGTGCTATTGATCATATTTCGTTGAGTAGATGTGATTTGATATGTCGCTTGATATGGTTTTGTGAGATACAAAATTCGATCATACGGAACCATAATTCGGAATATCTGGGACCGGTTCCACGGTGGCCATATGGCTCTATTGTTGTTGTTTTGAGTGCCATTGGTCATATTTCGTCGAGTAGATGTGATTCGGCTTGGTATGGTTATGAGCGATATCAAATTTGATAATACAGAACCATAACCCGGAATATCTGGAACCGGTTCTATGGCTCTGTGATAGTCGTGTTGAGTGCCATTGATCATATTTGGTTGAGTAGATGTGATTTGATGTGTCGCTTGGTATGGTTATGAGCGATATAAAATTTGACCATACAGAACCATAATCCGGAATATCCGGAACCGGTTCTACGCAAGCCATATGGCTCTATAGTTGTTGTTTTGAGTGCCATTGGTCATATTTCGTCAAGTAGATGTGATTTGATATGCCGCTTGGTATGGTTATGAGCGATATAAAATTTGACCATACGGAACCATAATCCGGAATATCCGGAACCGATTCCATGGTAGGCATGTGATCTTATGAATGTTCTTTATCATTTCCGGGAGTTCCTCGAAAAAAATCAATATGTTGTCGTGATGATATGGAAGATATATGATAAAGATTGAAAAAACACCAACGCGCCAACACATTCTTGAATATATAGAAAAGATGTAGGGTCCTGGGGGGGAGTATCACCCAACAAATGTCAGAACCACTCACCGGAATGATGTTAAAAAAAAGTCATTTTTATCGGCCATGGCATCTCTGAGATACAAATTTTTGAAAATAAAAAGTTTGTTCCGGGCTTTTACGGGTTAAGACAACATCATCAGTAAAGCCAACGACCTCGGCTCCTTTGTACAGCTTAATCGTCAGCACACCGTTGTACATACCGTTCCAGAGCGTTGGACCAAGCATGAAGCCTTGTGGAAATCCTGAAGTGTTTCTAATTGATCTCTGTCCACACATGGGACTATTATTTATTACAGATACTTTCCGTGATGGGCTGAATCGTCTCTGAAAATAGAACGGAGGGTTCAGTAAATAGTGCTTAAGAATCATTGAAAAGTAATCAGTTGCCCTCATTCTGTGCAAAGTTTCGAGGACGGCTTCCCAACTCGCGCTATTAAGTGCGTTCTTGATGTTAATCGTTATCACGGCGCAATATCGATTTCCCCTCCGTTTTTGTTTCATCGATATTTTAGCTCTCTCGATCACTGTCCGAATTGCGTCCGGTGTATCCGTCCTCTTTATGGAATTTGAACTTCGGATCTTCTCCTTATACCGTATGCGTGATAATGTTTGCACCATTGAGCAATGTCAAAATTAAAAATATTCTCAAAGTTTTCAGAGTCTTAAACTATGTTAATCATCGTTCGAGTTTCCACTTGCTGCAATTACGGCCTCTACACGCTTCCGGAATGCACGGCAGGTTCTAATAATGTAGTCTGGATCCATTTCTCTTCAGGTACGGGTCAATGTTTGTCTGAGGCTTGCTGTACTCGGGTGGCGTTAAGAACAGGCCTTGGCCTTCATGACGCGCCATATTGAGTAATCCAGTGGATTAAGAAGATCGGGGCTGAATGGCGGCCACATATCCTTCGCCCAGAATGGAAGATGTTCCTGCAACCACTTCTGAGTGCGGTTCGAGGTGTGGCACGGAGCCCAATCTTGTTGAAATACAATATGTGGCTTCGGACCGTACTGTTCTTTGATCCACGGAAGAACATACTTACTTAAAATACCGATGTAGACTTTCGTGTTGACCTTGTCACCTTCTGTAATGAACCCCGAGTCCATTTTTTTTTCCATCGGAAGCCACCATAACGCTAGCAGGATGCTTGGTCAGATACATGTTGTTGTGCTCGTTCGGCACGTCTTTTACCGGAACAGAAGTAATATACCGGTCGGTTCTGGAATTTGATACGAGATCGACGGTAAACATACTCTCGTCGGTGAACAGGATTACCGGATTTTTTTTCGCTTAAGGAAGTTCAAGATTTTCTTGCATCGTTCAACGCGTAACTCCCGGATGCGGTTGGTAATCATATGAGTTTTTTTTTCCGTGCCCTCGACTTCGCCCCGCAATCTTATTTGACGATCTTCCGTGCCGTAAAGTCACTGATCCCGTGTTCCTTTCTTTTCTCGGTCTAAAACCCTTTTGACGGGACATTCCCACGGCGATTGAAATGTCTTTTTGCGACATTTGCACGTGGGACAAATCACGAATGCACTGCCACTTCGTCATGGTGCAACTGTCGAACTAAGTAAATCATTTTCTTTTATATACAGCCTACTACCAACAATCAATACGAAACTAACGATTTTAAATTGGCTCACCACTTTAGTAGCCTATTGGTCCCAAGCAAACGATTAACGTACCCTATTCTAGTCGAAATTCTATTACTACACTATGTTTGTTTTGATTCGCTATGAAAGTTTGACAGATAACATCAGGGGTGTGTGGATTCATGCAGAACATGCAGGGGTGAGTGAAATAGCTTGGGACTGCTTGGGACCGTTGTTCTGGTACTGAGTGAGCCAAAAATAATAATGATTTTCTTCGGGACCCAGTGGTCTTAGAGTTACCTCTATGCTACTACGGTATGAGCTATAGATTACGTGCATGCAAGGTGAAACGGGAACCTTATTTGTACGATGGTGCAAACATTATCACGCATACGGTATAATGTTTGTTGAGGACAGTGCCGAATTTAGAATCCTGTAGGCCAGGAGCAATGAATCCTGGGGGGCATATTATCTGCTTTCGAAGTTTGCATTTCAAAAGTACTGAGGGCCCCGAGTGAATCGAAGTGAAACGAAATCGATTTACTACCGTGAATAAAGATTATATAAATTGCTTGCATGATCAAATTTGTGGTGTCCAATTTATTTGAAGCTGAGTTGAGCCCTGACCATCTCACCATCTTATTGGCTTTGTCCGCTTTGTAGGTTGGCTGACCTTGTTCTTGATCTCCCATTTTGAATTTGAATTCGAGTTTCGCGTTCGAGTGAAGTGATCAAGTAATTGTGATAGTGTCGAATTATGCCAGCAAACGATGATCTACGGCTGTTACACAAGCTGGAGCGTTCCTTGCGTATTTTTCAGGACAACATTAAGGAGTTTGTCCAATCGATTCAAGGTGGAACTAATAGACGTTCGCTGGACATGCGCATAGCCAGAATGGATGATATCTGGCAGAAGTTCATTGACGCTCGGATGCGCATCGAGCTGATCACCGAAGACGTCGACGATGAGATATCCACGGACGAAATGGAAGAAACGGAGGCGGCAAGATTGCAACGGCAAGTCAGGATCCAGAGACAACAAGATCGTGAGAACTCGAAGATAATTAAAGATTTCGAGAATGAAGTGGGTTTCCGGAGGGCTTGTCTAACTTGCTAAATTTTTGGGGAAATTGTATGTATGATACTGGTTAAATATAGATATATTTTTTAGTAAATACAACGAAAGAAGAACCATTTCTAAAGCGAATCATATGCCAAGAATTAAAATCGGCCTATAATCAACCGATATATGGCCATTTCCCTGGTTCTGGGGAGGGTTCTGAATGCGGGCAGATCATTTAATCACTCAAAACATGCCGTGTGACAGCTCTTTCTTCATGATTTCTCATCAATAGACTTTCGATAAACTTTAAATGCATCATTGACCACATTGGCCACTCTCGGAACATCTAGTATGCCCCCGGGGGAACCTGGAGCAGGGGACAATTGCATTTTTACACCAAAACATGCCGTGCGACAGCTTATTCTTCATGGATTTTCAAGAATAGGTTTTCTATAGACTTAAAGTGAATCATTGATCACATTGGCCGCTCTCGGAACCACTGGATACCTCCGGGGGAACCTGTAGCAGGGGAAAATTGCGTTTTTACTCAAAAACATGCCGTGCGACAGCTCTTTCTTCATGGATTTTCATGAATATGCTTTCTATAGAATTGAATTGGATCATTGACCACATTGACCTTTCCGGAGTCACTAAAAATAAATATATATTGAACCAGCATATAATATTTGGTATAAAATTTCACCAAAAATTTAGCAAGTTGTCTATGCCCTCCGGAAACTCGGAATATCTCCGGTATCCGGTGACCAGGTTTATTTTCGTGGCTACACCGTAGAACAATATTAGTATTCCAGTCAAATGCTCTTGGAAGATTTAAAATCGGATCATATTTGACGAAGTTACAACACTCCAAAGTTGACCAAAAATTTGCCTATCCTAGTTATTTTGAGTAACCCCTGTATATGCAATATGCAAAAGGCATTCAAAAATCGTATCCAAGCATGAAGTGGAGATATGCCGTAATGCAATGCCTTTTCGTTTGATGTAGATCCTTCCTCAAATTTATCTATGTCATTCATTATATTTGGAGTTGCTCCACAGATTGGACAATTCTGCATCGACGAATTTCCAATAATATTATTTCGATTCGGTCCACTGTATTTTCCATCAGCGCCTGGAGTGTTACTCTTATTTTCTATGCGCTTTCTTCGATGAATTCTAGTGATTTTTTTTTTCACTGCTCCAATCACATCGTATGGTGGAAATCCTAAAGGCGCGGTGGAAATCTGTGCGGGCGCTGATGGGCTCCATCAAGAAGAAGGTTCGAGATTTCGTTCGAACTGGAGAAATGTAACCATCTAATGCTGTAACTTTGAAGTTTTAATAAAAGTACTGTAAATCAACCATTGATGGACTTTTTAATCTTATTGAATCACGAATTACAGGTCTTTTTATGCGTACCAATTTACCTTTAGTCAGATTTTAATGCGATTAACTTCAAGCCACTTTTATTTGTATTTAATGGCGAGTATATGAATCTTGTGATTCTGACGTTTCTGTTCCTCCACCGAAATTTTAAAGTTTTCACAAATTAGTTTTAAGGTTCTTTGCTCATTTTCGTTATGCGTTAATTCAGCATCAAACAAATTAATAATGGCTCTATTATACATGCTTACACTTGGAAAGTAGATCATGGTTTTTGCATTGAGCAGCAGCAGCATTAATACGAGGTTAGGTACATATATATGATAGGTATTTATGACTGAAAGTCATATTATATGTTGGTTACTTGGGTATGCCAGTCTTCAACAGCATGCTAGTTGTGGCCATCGGAAGCATTGTACCGTCCGAGACCGAAATCTGAACACCAAAGAAATGAATAAAAATCAGTATACCTCAAACAAAACGTCTACCTTTCGTATGCCACCGTTTGCCTTTCACATCCGGATTGTTATCGAGCAATTGTGTGCTGGAAATATGAATTATGCTGGAATGCATATCAAGGATGATCGTTTTTGCTTGACGTCATGTCTATTCCCACTTTTGTCGTCATTGCGCATTCCATTGCAGCGGAACTGACCATACATCGATTAGAACCGATTATCAACAAGTTGATCTAGTCACTTAACGAGGCCCAATTGACGCCACATGTTTACGTCTCGAGCTAGAACGTCCGAGACTACCAATTGATCTGCCCATCTGCCACGCGACTTTGTAGTGACGGTTTCCGGATCGTCGTCCATCGAAATAGTAAACAACGAAATCATGACAATGAATTGATCCATCCATCGGCAATCCAAAGTCAACCGCTTCTAGCAACAACTAGATTTCGCAGATCTAGCGAATGATTTCACAACTTTGTGAAGTTACGAAGTGTCATATCAGATCTCGTCGGCAAATCGATGTCAACTGTTCATTAGCGAATGATTTGGGATGCTAATTGAATGTGTAGAGTCACATAAGTGCACCTGACTTGGCAACTTGGAATCGCAACAAAGCCTACACACTAAGATTTTTTTACAGGAGTCAGTATTTTTTTACTGGGTTTTTGAATTGCTGAAAAAGTCGGTAAAAATTCAAATGACCGTTATCCGTAAGGAATCAATGAAATCGACCAATTTTATTTTTTATCATTAAATGGGGTTAACATAACTAAGTATACACAAGTTCAGAACAAATTTTCTTATTAATAGATTTTCCACAGATTTTAAACTTTTACCGAACAGTTCCGCAATTCAAAAACTCAGTAAAACCGTACTGACTCGATTAGTGTGTACACTGGTTCGGCATTAGGAGCCTGTCAACATGTGATCACTTATTGTTGAATTAATTAAGGTAGTTTTAAAATAGCACCCGTAGAAGAAACAATTGTCGGGTGTATGATAATTGCTAGTGCACATCATCAGCATCATCGCTGCATGCCGGAGTATTGTTTGTGATTGTTGTTTATCTCGGTCTGTTTCCATCACGGTGTGAATTTCTAAGCCATTTGAATGTGAAGAATGGAATCTTTTCAGCGAGGAATAGTTGACTGAAGAATCAAACTGTATAGCAAATCATTACCTACGTTGGAGCTGAATTCAATCCATAGAGCAGGACAACCATTACCATTTCGTATCCTTTTCCCTTATGCTTTGCTGCTCTCCATTCCGTGTAGCAGGAGTAGAGCAAGAACGACCTCGATAGTTTAATCATTCTACTAATTTCCTGTTCCCATTTCGGTGTCTGCCATGATGGCGCTTGGATGCCACCACCGTTAGCAAATTGGTTCCCCTTTCGTCGTGTTTGGCACTATGCCCTATGTGTTGAATAGTTTGCGAACTAGCAGGACGGCAAACGCGATGACTTTGTATCATATAATAACGAGGAATTTTAAAGTTTTACAATTACCTTTATAGAACGAATCCCGATGGAAAACTTATTGAAGAAAATCTCCAAAATAACACGACCCTCAAGCAAATAATTCCGTTGACAAATTGAAACATCAAACCGAAATGGCCTTAGTTGGTGCTGAAATTCAAACTTCCTTGGTCCAATTATCGAATTGATTCAAATTGATGGCACCGGATTGATTTTTCCTTCGTCGGTGACTCGGTGATTTGAATTACGATTGATCATATGCTTTTATGGAAAATAACGTACTAAAATCAAGACAAATATTGGACAAAGCAATCATTGACTTATGTCTTCACAAAGAGGACCGATTTGAAGTATGGAAATAGTTTACGTAAGAGTGTGGCAAATAAATGTTATTTGTTAACTGCAGCAGGAGCATGTGTTTTGTGTAGGAATAGAAATTTGAGCGGGGTTCTCTCTGTTTATACTCTTTAGTATGACTATGATTGCCCTGAAAAGAACCTTTTGATATGAATTTCAAATATGGGACATGTTCAGAAATTTAACTCTTGGAAAATCTTGGTTGCCCTGAAAAAGGCCGATGGTAGTACAGGCTTAAAGCCTTTGGGAGATGATGATGACGTGTAGGCAGCTGGGTCAGCAAATCGGACCGGACAATCCCAATGATTGGGCACTCGCAAGAGGCTCGGCCCGTCTGCTGCTGGACAGAGGTTGAACTGTTGACAGGTTTGAAGGCCACAAAATATCAGTGTCCACCCAGCGAATGCTCCTCCACTTTTCAGTTTTTCTCGTTAAACTCAGCAAGTTGGTAAATCTTGGCCTTTAGCTGAAAGACGCTTAACACTTTTTTCGGTGAATTTATGATCCTGTTTCAAGTCATGGTTCTTCTCTATGCCTGTTCAGATAAATTAGTACTTTTATTTATTTTCTCTACTGCGCTAAATCAAACGAGCAGAAATAAGAAGGGATGTCGGTTACACGCTCGAATAATTGAAAATTGGAAATATTTAATCGAACAGCTGGAAAAAATGTTTACGATTAATCGTTAATCGAATAATTGGAATTTTAGACATTCCTAGAAAATAGTGTAATTTCCAAGCAGTTCACTTACAGATCTAAACAAGAAATTAAGGTTCTAGAGTGGGCTCAAGAGAAAGAGGCAGTTAATCAGACCCCATTAGTACCCTTAATTCAAATAATGCTGCAACTCACATAAAACAAACTAAAGAAGTCTATTCATCGTCACCGACTATAGAACGGTTTCCAACAATGCTTCCCACCGGTTCCAACCTTTTCCGGCCGAAAGGCTAGGTT